AATTGTAGGAACCTCTGAAGAAATAGATATAGAGTTTCATCAAAACAATAAGAGAGAAAGTGAAAGTTTTGTTGGGGTGTAGTGGTGATGTGGGTTGATGAGTCAACAGTGAAGATTACATGGAAGCTGACTAGAATGCTACCTGGGAAAATGAGGAAGGTCTTTTTAGCAGTACTCGTTTCACGTGCAAGAGATTATATGTCACAGACCATCTCGTTCTATCCAATGATGTTGGTCAGCAACAAAGTCTTCAGCAGAGTTTAAAAGTATAAATTTTCTAACCAACCCAGGAAGGAGAGGACTGAGCAAAGACAACAGGATTCCGAGAGCTGAGAATGATTATATAACTACCAAAAGAGTGAAAAGAAGGTAAACATCACAACAAAAGCAGCAAGGACTATTAATTCATAAGGCTTAAAAATTACAACTTGGGAAGCATATTTATGCATAGAATATTGTAACATAATAATAATGACAATAAATATGCCCTCTATTATCCTTTACAAATACCCCTACTCTGTAACATGTAACTCTTATGGAACAAATGAAAAATACAATAATCCTCCCTTTGAAGCTTTCTCCAGAACAAAAAAATTAAACTTGAAAGTAGGATGGGAGAAGGAAGGATGACCGTTTCGGAGGCTTTTGAGTGGAGAGCTTAATCTCGTTTTTTATGCTAACTTTTTAGCTTGATTCTTCGATGCTCAAGGAAAATTACCTAGAAGCTGAAACTAAAGCATGATGCCTTCCAGCCATGATGTTTTGCAAGTCTGGAAATTTTTCAATAGTGCCAAAAATGTAGAAAATATGAAGAAAATGATAATTTCTGGGTGGTTTCAATGTGTAGGATGAGAGGTTGAAGATGGAAGATTTTTCAAAGGAAAAATGGAAGTCTAGTGCTTGAAAAAGAAAGTTGGGTGTAAAAAATCTGTTCTATTCTACCATGCTAAAAAAATGAAGGAGAAATAGTATATATATATATATATATATGCAGTGGCACTTTTGTAATTTTTGGGTTGATGGGCCAAAGTAGCCTAACAGCCTAAGGAGTAGATTTGGGTGAGCCATTAAGTTTTGAGTGGTTCTGGGCATTACAGATAACATTTTGGCAATGATATTATGAATTGCCCAAAGACCAATGGTTTTAGTGAAAGACCACTAGTTCTAGCGAAGCACCGTTGGTTTCGGCGAAGCACTAGAGGCTACCCATTTTTGGTAATTCTCTCAACCATACGAAATTCCATTTAGAAAGGCACTTGAGTATAGCCAACAAAAATAGGATCTATCTAGGATTTTGGTAGATTTCCCAAGGTTTGCTTAGGATTTTTGTAGATTTCCTAGACAAAATGTAATCTTTTTTAATAGTTTTCGATGCAATGGAACTCGTGCAGCCACTTTTACATTAAATACAGCTGCAAGTTGCTGATGGTGACCAAACCAATATCTCTGGTTAGTTTTTAACAAGATTTCAAGCTTTTAGTTAGCATCAAACAGTACAGTTTTGGAGATCAAGTCCATCTCCACGTCTTCACCAGCCAACCCTTTCTGGTGAAGTCATGCAACATCGCCAGCTCCAAGCTTGGCTAGCATGAATGCCTTGCTTCACCAAATGAGCAACGTTCATTCATCCATGCTTGCCAAGCCATTACTCCTATAGTTTAACCCAAATAATTCTCATGAGTTTGGATTCATGGACTTGTGTTTATCTACAACAAGAGCAAGATATAAATGAGTATTTGTTCAAATATTTAAGTGCAAAATATATGAACACATGTAACAAAGAAGGATACTCCCTTGTGTATCGAAGGGGATGATACGACTAAACATTGTCGTGCCTCTTTGTCCACTAACCATGGCAGGTGCTTATACAATGTTGCTATGTATGGTTGGCATTACGTTAAAATGAAGAATGAGTAGTATGGATGTGCACTGTGATATCATTGTCTTGAGCTAAGCATTGTTAGTCGGCGATACCTATTAACACGTAAAAATGTAGAAGAGATATGTTGTGAATTGGGATTATTGGCGACTAGTAATTTTGTCCCTTTGTATAAAAGAATAATTATGTGTATGACCGCCAACCATGTTGTATGAGTATCGTAAGGGCAACCATGAATAGTTTCCCTATAGCTAGAGGAGAAACAGTGGCTAGCTTTGCTCATGGCTAGAGCATGAACTATGTGGAATTGGAAGAGTACTTCCACTAATCCACCAAGTCGCAAAGAGGTAAATCTCAATTAAGCCAAATTCCACCATAACAGTGAATATGTGATAAAGATAGGTGGAGTTGTCTCCATGGAAAAGGGACACCAGCCGCATCCATGGATTCCAATACGATAGGGTGTGATACCACTGACAAACGTTAGCCCTTCTTGCTGTACCCGCACCATTATAGGGTGATCTTGGCTGTTGTTGCTCTTTGGGCACCGCACCACCATGCACGGGTGAACACCAAAAGACCACCGGCCGCTACTTGATGGATTTTTATGGCTGGAGGGTAGCCATCCCATCCAATCGCAGGGTTACAACTATTACCGACCTCACACTAATTGCATCGAGTTACACTGACACTTTATCTATTGCCAAGAGCCAGTGAAATGAAGTATGTAGAAGTCCAACCTTTATCCATTGCTGAGAGTCGATGTCATGAAGTTATGTAGAAATGTATAGCTTTTTTCCCATTGCTAGAGGTTAGATGAGATAGCAAATCTATCCCTTTTTCCATTGTTGGGAGCTGTGTAGATGTAGCTCGTTGTCCATTAATGGAAGCCAAAGATATTTAGCAATGAACATGATCATCAAAAACACCTAACCATGTCAAAGAGATAGATATAGCCATGTCTGACCATGTATATAGAAATAGATGTTGGAGCGGGTTATATTTGCAATATTTCCTACGAAATAGATGAATGCCGCTCCTGGTGACGCTAACTCTTTTGTAGTAATCAGCAGAAAATGGAAACAGCATGTCTAATATGGAAGGTAGATCATGTGGGGCATTGCTGATGTGGCGTTGCACACATTGTCAATCTTAAGGTAGTACAAATTCATCTCTCAACAATTTTAATACTGTTAAACAAGTTTATATTTTTAATTATTAATGTTGAAACTTATTTTAAATAAATCTATAATTTTAATTTTCAATAATTATAAAATTTAAAAAAACTAAATTAAAAAATTAATAATCACAATCATACTTAATAGTTCTAACTTTCTAAATTAAAATGATATTGAGCCAATAAATTTTAGCCATAACTTAAAGTATTAAACCCTTTATCGCACACCAAGCTCTTTGGGCCAAGTGGCAATAGCTACCTTACAGTGCACTCCTCCCTCTTCCTGGGTTGGGGTTCGACCCAATCCCTTCTCAACTTGTTTAAAAAAAAAAAAAAAAAAAAAACCTTTATCGAAAAAAAAAAAAAAAAAAAAAAGAAAAAGGTTCGATAGTCTTTTGAGGTGGACAAAGTTTGTTTTGACGATTTGACCCACTCGACAAGGATCTGTCCATGATCTAACATCAATCAATATAATGCTGAATCAAATGTTTGAAATGTGGTATGGGAAATGCCGAAATGGGACCAGAAAAAGCATGGAGCTCGGAAGAGATAAGACTCCTATATTCTGTAGGTTGGGACCACAACAAACAACTAAAATGTCGCAGCAACTGCCCCGTTTCACTTGCGTCTCGCTTGCAATTTTATGTGATATCAATTTTAGATTTGGCACCATCCCAAGAGTTAAAGTTATCAGGAACATTATTGGAATAAGGGTTTTCTCTTTTATTCCCTTAGAATATAGGTTAAAGTTATTTTTTGTCATAAATATATACAAAATAATTAAAATTAATTTGCATGTTCAAAAAAAAAATTAAAATTAACTTTAATTTTAATTTTAATTAAATAATTAATAAATTAAAAATTAATTTTTAATACGAATTTATTATAAAAATACATATATTATATTTTTAAATTATACCTTAATCACATAAATTAAAGAAAGAATTAGAATAAAACTCTTAGGATCTATCCACAATTTTGTCGCTGAAAACTATGTTCTGTAAAGAAAGATTTATAATAAAACTCTTAGGATTTATCCACAATTTTGTCGCTGAAAACTATGTTTTCTTTTGCACTTTTTCCTTTTTTCTTTTTTTCTTTTTTTTTTTTTTTTTTATAATTTCAATTTTGAACATTTTACCTATGGTAGCTTTCTTGCACATACGTAAAACACCAGCCTACCTAACAGCATGACTCGTCACTCTCTTAATGGATCGATTTAAAAGTCTTGCTGTTTTAATTGCTTAGAAAAGCACGCGAAGCCCTACAAGGAGTTTAAACTTTCAGAGACAGACACCTGGAGACACCTGGCCTTGTGGGCCGACTGATTAATTGTCAGATTAATTGTCAGTTTTGAAAGCTCACTTCCCTCATATGATATTTAGTCTAAATTTTTCATCTTTTAAAATCTGTATTTCTTTAAAAAAAAAAAGAAAAAAAGGAATAAAAAGGAAAACCTTCAGAGATTGACTGGTTGGAGGCTGATTGCTAAGTAGATGATTTTATTGAGATTTTAAAAAAATAGTTAAAAAATTATTGTATAAAAAATTAATAAATTTTATGATAAAATTTTATTA